GAGAATGCTCACGCCGCTTCAAAAACAGCAGCGCGTCGAAGACGTCAAAACACTTTTTGGAGTTATGTGGCGACGATCTGGATATTTTGAGCAGCGTAGTAGGTACTCTAATGTAGAACCAGCTGCCCACTGCAGTATTTCCGAACCAATACAAGAAAACAAGCTAAAAATAGTTTCTTCTGCACAGAGATTAGGTTCGAATTTTGTTACCTTAAGTCAGGTTCATGCCGGCCCTCATCCTATAGATTGCCCCTGTAACCAATCAAATTGCCCCTGTGTGGAGAGGGGAACACGTTGGCAAACACTGCTATATTGGCTAGATATATTGAAAGTTTTCCAAGTATAGCTTGTTGAAATAAATATGTAGGAAATGGTTTATTCATGAGGACTTAGTATCTCCAAGGTAATATATATAGAATATATAAACCATGAAGTGTAGTAAGTATATAAATAATGGTCAATTGAAGTTGTTTCCATATATCGTTAAAGTACAGCTCCTAGAAAGGGGTTTAATAGGACTTAATATATACAAGGAAAATAAATTAATATAAATATATATATAATATATAATATATAATAGAGTAACTTAAAATATTGAAGAAAGAAACTTGAATAATAAAACAGAATAGATAACATGTACCACGGAACAATTGTTATCTATTCCCACAACACAGTGACTCCCTAGTATGGGGACTAGCGATATTTGAATTTTTGTCACAACCCTTTTGTCAGAAATAAAGTTATTTATTATTATAACAAAAGAGTTGACATTTGTTTCTTATTTATGATTTTGAATTCGGCTAGTTCAAAGACTAAGCAGCGAGTATGGAATCGGGGTTGGAGTCCTGCTTTCTTTCCCTGTCACTACGATATAAAAACATTGTTACCATGGTAACACATACTACAATTTTTAGGGTTATCTGTTTGAAGTTTGTTTAATTTTTGTACTCGGAGTATCAAGTGCAAAGTTCAAGGTTTGCGTGAACTCGTTCACCTTGAATAATAGTCATGGAAATTAAGTTATGCAATTTTTCTGAAAATAATTTGTAGAATGAATAAATCACTTAAATTATTAATACCTTGAAAACAAACCAACTTAAAAGCACTTTTTGTAATATCGAATAACCTAAATAAAATCTGGTCGTTTTATGTTGCTCATATATTCTTTGTTTGTCCAAATCTATAATTGCTGCTTCGCTTACTCTGATTTGAAGTTTGAGAATAATAAATTCTATATGAGGTGAGGGGTACCGGGTTCGATTCCCGGTTCGAGGGCAAGTTTTAATTTAATTTAAATTTGTTCTCGGCCTTTGGGAGTGTTGTGCGGTACCAGGCGAGTGCTTAAACCGTACATGGAGGACGCGGTCGAATTTCTTATACAAGCACGAATTATAAAAAATCCTATACTTGACGCTGGCTAATGCAGAAATCGTGCCAGAGCCATTAAATAAAAAAAAATTAAAAAAAATCTATACAAATATGTATGTCTGTATGTGTAAGCAGTGCTTTTATAAGACAGGATAAACAGATTTAAATACAAAATCTTATCTTTAAACAACTGCACAAAACGCTCATAGAAATACTTTCTTTCACTATGTCGGTTAACATATAAATATTCTTAGTTCATAATTATTTTGTGAAAACGTGTTTTAAATTGGGTCTTTCAAATAAACAGCAACCGTCATTGCAAGCGAGCTGATAGCGTGAGGCAATTAAACAAGCGAATATAATAATCTCAAAAATTTGTAAAAGTAGCTTACATATGAAAAAATCAGTGGCGGTACAACCTTTTAGGTCTGAGCCTCAGAATTCTGAATCTGTTCCATGATTATTTTTCAAATTAATAGGCAAGTAGGTGATCAGCCTTGTCCTGACACACGACGTCGACTTTTTGGATCTTAGTAATGCCATTTTCTTGGCGATGTTAAATGCGTATACAGTATGTAAATTGGTACACAGCCGGTTCGAACTATAATTTGCTATTTATTGTTAACATGAGATGATTTAACAAGAGAACACTATAATGTAATATAGATATACAAAATGACGTAGGAGTAACCATAGAACTCAGGAATCCGTACATACCTATAAAATCTATAGTTTTGGATTTCAGTGCGTACATACTTATGTAATTTTACAGAAGTTTGCTGATAGAAACGAGTGCTTAAGATCTAGGCTAATTATTAAAAATGGTTTGTAATGATATGTTATAACAAGTTTGCTTAATCTCGATTTAAATAAAATCGCAGATATTATTTTGTGAAATTTGGCTTTGCAAATCACACTTTATTATATACGAGTAACAGGTATTTTGAAATATATCCGATATTTAATTCAATTATTGTTATGCAATATAATATACCTATTATAAATCCACAATCATCGAAAATCAAATAAAATTTAATAATTTTATCGGGTTTCTGTCTCGTTATCACATTTTATTATCGCTTCAGCTTTGCGCACGCGCACAAACTTCGTAGCTATTACGGTGAATTACAGCGGTAAATTGCGCGAGTTCCGATCTCTGCGTTTGGCAACACATACCACCATTTCTTAAACTAACTAGCACCAGGCCGTTCACCTTTCACATGCATGTATTTTATTTTCCTTCTTTAGTTAATTCGGTTATGAAACCTTTTTACTTTGATATGATTATACAGAGTCGAGACTTAAAGAAAGAGAATATTAAATGTCAAAAACGTATTGCATTTGCATCAATGTACTCAGACACTTTCGTCTTAAAATGTTGCTTCCAGGTATAGCTAACAAGAATATTACTTGTGATAATTTGTAATATTATCAATGCATTAGCATAATTATTAAAATTTAAAAATCGAACGCGATGCTCTTCACCACGTATTTAGAAAGTCTGTGAAGACTAATCATATTTTGTCAACCGGTATTAATCCTTATCCGATAATCGGATTCTAGAGCGGATTTAAAGTGTATTAAACTATTAGCAGTTTTACTCACTTATACACTATTTAAAGGAGTGTTGGTGAAGGCTTCGGCGTGTGACTCTCATCCCTGAGGTCGTAGGTTCGATCTATGTGCGCATCTAACACTCGCTCGTACGGTGAAGAAAACATCGTGAGAAAACCGGCATATGTCAAATCTAAAAATGACGCGTGTCTGACAGAAGGCTGATCACTTGTCTATAAAATAAAACTAAGCAATCCATCCCATATAGAGTTTTAGCGCCACAGGATTATTATTTATTATATACTATAAAAATAAATATATTCATGAATAAACTAATAAATAAAGCCTGTAGTAGGCTTTTAGGATGAGGTATAGATATACGCCTTTAGATTATTTAGATTAGATAGAGAATTAAAGGCCGGCAACGCACTCGCGAGCCCTCTGGCATTACAAGTGTCCATGGGCGGTGGTATCACTTATCATCAGGTTCAGATGAGCATCCTGCTCATTTTCCCCCTGGTCTATAAAAAAACGTTGAATTATTTGTAATTAGACCCGATATAGACTGTGGAGGGGCTGACACTAGCCATAGATATTAGATATGTTATGTATAATTAAGAATCTCCTTTTTATTAAAATTTTAACCCTATTGCTATTGTAGACTAAAATCACTTACTTCTAGTATAACAAATATGGCTAAAGTAACGTTAGAGTGTACAACTGCATTCAAACATGGCTTATTACTAAAATAATTGAAATAAATGACATAAGTACTTATATAAAAAATGGAATATACGAATATTTTTATAGTTGTCATAGAGAAAGCCTTAGAGTATATTCTGAATTTAAAATTCGAAATATAATAATAAACATACCAAAGAGTAAATCATACTCTGTAATAGATAGGAAATGTAACAGTGTAAGCATATTATGTTTTAATCTCTGAACCTAGATTCTTTTAAATATTCATCTATGTGTCTATGGGTTTCTAAATATGAAAAATATTATTCAAATCATGTTAGTTGTTACTCTAACGGAGCGCCATCTCTCGGGCGCTGTAATTTTAACTATCAAGGTCATTTGTAAAACAATGTACATATTTTTATAAAAAGTAAATAAAATAAGTAAATAAAGAAATAAGCCCGTTTGTAATATTTGCGTTCTGACAATGAACAGTGATTCCAGATGTACGATTTAAATCGTACTTTTTCCCTTTTTTTCTCTTTTTCTCTCGCGCGCCCCCCCGCCACCACCCTCCTCCAAATATTTGCTCTTTTTCTTCCCCCCCCCCCTTCTTCCTATAAAAAAAACTTTTTCCCCCCCCCCCGGGTTTTTTTTTCCGGGGTTCCCCCCCACCCCCCCCCGCCGCCCCCTCCCCCTCCCCCCCCCCCCCCTTTTTTTTTTTTTTTTTTTTTTTTTTTCCATTTTACTTTTTTTTTTTTTTCTCCCCCCCCCTTCCCCCTTTTTTGAATACCCCCTCCCCCCCCCCCCCCCCCCCCCCCCCCCTTTTTTTTTTCCCCCCCCCCCCCCCCCTTTTCCCCCTTTTTGGTTTTTTTCTCCCCCCCCCCCCCCGGGGGGGGGGGGGTGGGGGCCCCCCCGCCCCCCCCCCCCCCCCCCCCCCCCCCCCCCCGCCCCCCGGGGGGCCCCCCCCCCCCCCCCCCCCCCCGCCCCCCCCCCCCCCCCCCCCCCCCCCCCCCCCCCCCCCCCCTTTTTTTTTTTTTTCCGCCCCCCGCCCCCCCCCCCCCCCCCTTTTTTTCCCCCGGGGTTTTTTTTTTTTTTTTTTTTTTTTTTTTTTTTTTTTTTTTGACTTCAAGGCAAAAGCAGTCTCAATTTAAATAAAAACTTCTTTTGTTGTTTTTTGTTTTTTTTTTTTGTTTTAGTTGTGTAGTTGCGTTTTTTACCTACCTGCAATGAACAGTGATGACCCGTGGCGGTTATCTTTGCCTCAGTCAACAATTTTTGTTAAAACAAAATAGGTTGTCTTGTTCCTTTATTTTTAGAGTTATACTAGAGTGATAAGGATAAAATGTTCAAAAGCTAATTTAAAGTTACATTGATGAATAGGAAATGTTTTCATAATGGATTCTGGAACTTTCTTTGAGGTACCACGCTTGTTACTATAATTGTTGAATCACTCAGATTATGTAGTGTAAATAAAGCAAATCATTTGAGCAACACAAATATTTATTTCCTTTTACTTTATTCACATGATAATGGAAACAATTTTGTTAATTCCACGTTTGTAGTATATGATAAAAACATAAACATTGCATAATCAGTTCTATTGTTCTCTAAAAGTAAATTTTACTCTACAATTGTTAGTATATAATATTTCGTTACTTTGTGGGCATTTCACAGTAAACAATTGTACCGCTATAGTGAAACAAAACGTGTTCCATACATTACCAATGAATTAAATGCATACTTTCACAGAGATAACAATCAGTATGAACGTGATCTGCCTTCGATTAAGTTACAAATATTTTTAAATTCGAGGTACACGCATTGTCTGGTTCCGGTCTACGTTTAACATTCCTTGGCACGATCGTGTTTTGTTTCGATGTGTGATTTTCGATTGTCATTTGTTTGATTTAACCATCTCATTGAAGGTTAATTTTTCGCATTGTGGTTGCGTTTTACAGGGTCTAATTATCTTAACACTAACTTAACAAATTAATGATATATTTTTTTCATAAGGTTTTAATTTGTAATGTGTCCCCTGAACTAACGGTGTCATGGTTATGAATGTACAAGTATGTGTTTTAAAATCACCTTACTTAATGTATGCGCACTGTTAAATAGGTTTTATTATACCTAAATAGAAAATAAATGTATAATCATTGACATTCTGAAAAATCATTTTAATTTGACTAAGTACTTTGTCCGCTTATCAAGGAACGGAATTAAAATGTTTTATAATTTATTTGTAAATTCCAGGGAGATTACATATGGATCGAGCCGGTATCGAATCGAGAGTTCGACGTGGCCATTGGAGCGAGGGTTTTGGCAGCAGAAGGTCGCCGAATCAGAGTCAGAGATGACGACGGCCAGGAACAATGGCTTCCACCAGAGCGACGGATCAAAGCCATGCACGCCACCTCCGTGCATGGCGTGGAAGACATGATCTCCCTGGGGGACCTGCATGAAGCTGGGATCTTGAGGAATTTGCTTATACGATATAACGATAATCTTATTTATGTAAGTAGTAATTTTGCTGGTAATTATGAATTGCACTTTACATGCTCTTTTTCCATATACAAAGTGATAAATCAAATGACTGACTGTTGGCAAAAATCTTATTTTGTCACACGTCTTACATACAAAAAAAAATTCTAATAATTTAAATCATTCTCCACTCCCAATAACCTAACCCCACTTGAACACACAAAAAATTTCATCAAAATCTGTCCAACCGTATAGGAGTTTAATTACGAACACATGCACAGAAGATTTGTATATAATATATACCTGCTGTTTATTTGCTGTATAGATAAGTAACCTAGATACCGACTGCAGCGCCATCTGCGGGGCTGATTTTTGAATTCAAACCATCCAGGGCGCCACCCAAACGCATACAAAAAAAATTCATTCAAATAGGTCCAGCCGTTTAAAAGGACTTCAGTGACATACACACGTAAAGTAGAATTATATATATAAACAAACGCCATATACGCCAGTTGTGCTTGAAGTATCTCAATTCTTTAATGCATAGGACTGGCGAAATTTCTGTATTTTTGATTGAACACTTTGGCAAGATCCGCCCACGGTACCATTAAAATCAAACCAGTTATTATTTCGCTTAGTATAGCTTCCTGAATTTCCAAATATATGCGTCTAGCAACGGCCATCTTCCTACTCTAGAAGGGTAGAGAAAAGCGTAGTTCATAATACATTAGAAAACCGCTGTGGTCTGTATAAATGTAACCATAGCAGTCTTGTTTAGGAACGCGACAAATGCATATAAAAAAACGTGTGGCGCTCGGGGACTGCCGCGGTAAAGACTGTCTCACTCTAAAGCTGGGGATACACATGCCCGTAGCTTGCACACTAGCATACCAGCTCCTTGCAAGTGCCAGCTACAGTCATGTGTATTCACTAACTGGCATGCCTGTAACTGGAAGCCAGCTAGTTACAAGTAGCTAGCACAACATTTGATTTTCTTGCATGCCCGTTGAGGGAGGGGTCGCGGGGAGACTGCTAACCTGGCACGTGTGAACAGACGCGACAGGCTACGGGCATGCCAGTAGCCGACTCTCTTACCCAAACCCGTCTTCGTTTTTTCTTTTTATCTCTCATTAATTTAGCTACACATTCAATTGCTAGTAACAACACAATTTTGTTTAATTCACTTCGATTTTTATCCATGTTTAGCGCGCAAGAATAGGAAGGTACGAAATACTCTCACGATATGTCCTGTGTATACGCGATGGTAATACTGGCATGCAAGGGCACAGTATGCATGCCAGTACTACTTGCAAATGTATCCGCAGTGTGCCAAATTACTCGTACATGCCAGTAACTTTCATGCCAGCTACTTTCCCGATTTACTGGCATGTGTATCCCCAGCCTTACTCGTACCGGCTGCACCGCCCGCGCTTACGCTACGTCACCTATCTCGTCAGATAGATGTGAATACGCAGTATGCGTTCTGCCCCACTCTAACGGGTATTGGCCGCATCTATATTACGTCATCGTGTGTTAGGTTTTTATTTTCGTTACGGAATTTCTTGATTCGGTCGCCGCGCTCAAAGCCCGCGATAAAATCTATGCAATATTTTAATAGTTTTTCAAATTACTTTTTTTGTTGGTTAACGTAAGACTGTCTAATAACTGACTGGGCAATCCATTTATAGCCGCCGTAGCAAATACCTCAACGTTCTCTCACCATATACATTGTTTGCTATCGACGTACAGAGCCGAACTTGTGTTACTCGGATCTGTACTTCATGCTCCGCTCTTTTGTTTAGTTTAGTTTTGTGGTCTAGTTCAGAGTGGATGAAAATCACTTCGTTACTTATTCTCAGGACTCTGGGTAAAATTGTATAAGCAAATAAAAATATCATTTTGGTTGAATGCGAATTGGTTAGGGGGTTAGCGGGATTAAATTATCGGGATCACCTCGTACATAAGGATTTGTTAATGTTAGTAAAATTTAAATAAATATTATAATGATATAACCAAATAAATATTTGAAAGTAAAATAAGGCTGAAAAGGTATTTTAACCAAATTTTTACGCGAGCGTACCTACCTACAATATTCACAGATTCTACTTGAATTGTACTGTATCTATTAATAAATCCTTTAAAACAATGGCAGACCAATACACTTTATAGTGTGTAGTGCTTATTTACCCAACTCAACTTTCGCTCATTATTTTTCAGACATACACCGGGTCAATATTAGTAGCAGTGAACCCCTATCAGATTCTTCCAATATACACCGCGGATCAGATCAAGCTGTATAAAGAGCGAAAGATAGGGGAATTGCCGCCGCACATCTTCGCTATAGGGGATAATGCGTACGCGCACATGCGTCGTTATAGCCAGGATCAATGTATAGTCATTAGTGGAGAGTCTGGTGCGGGAAAAACTGAATCTACCAAATTAATATTGCAGTATCTAGCTGCTATCAGTGGGAAGCATTCGTGGATTGAACAACAGGTGAGCTTGGTTTAATTTTGATACATTACGGATACATACAGCGTCATAAATCAAGGGAGAATTTTAGTTTAGTTTGGTTTATGAATATTATTATTATTGTCTTTGATTCGCATAAACTTTACACATTTAAAGAAAAAACTTTTTACCGGATTAAAGTTATGTATTATTATAAATTTACAATTATTTAACATAATTTTAAATTTATCCGACGTTTCGCGTGCTTTACAGCGTGCGTGGTCACGGTGACTATATAATAATACATAACTTTAATCCGGTAAAAAGTTTTTTCTTTAATATTATTATTGTATTATCTTAGTTTAAGGTTGTATAATTATTTTTTCTTCTTGCACCTTACCTATCATATTTCTTTTTTTAGTTTATTTTATTACTATTTACTTTAATACTAGGGTTGCCTGGAAGAGATCGCTTGTTAGCGATAAGGCTGCCCGTTGCAGGCCTTATAATTTTTATGTATTATATTCTTTTTTTTTGACATTCAACTTTTCTATTTTTGTATATAAGTCACATAAAAATTAATATCTACAGTATTTACAATATTCTTAACTAAAAACAATAACTAACCTTAAAATATAATAACTAAAATATATTATTAATGCTTTAGGCAAGGTTCCGAAGATACTGGCAGCGTTCCCCCTTGGAATAGCTAGACTAATACTTTGTCCGAGGTAGCTGCCAGCTCTTCGGTCTCCTGTGATGTCGACTAACTTTTTGCTATTTACTTAAAACGCCTTATAGTGCTAGGACCCCACGGACCAAGGGTCTCGACACCGAATGGGACAAAATCATATTCAGAGCCTAGACCCCTGTATTTGCACGCTTTAGCTTTTTCAGCCGCATCATTTGTTTTTCTTTATAAATGTAACGAAGTGTAAATAAATAAATAAAAATAATCTATATTCGAGTACTACATAACTACATAATCAGGAAAACATTAAATGTCATTATGTTTAACATTAGTACACGACCTCCAACGGAGTGAAGTTACACCGTAATCTTGTCGTTTTTCGATTGAAAATAATTTTGCTTAACACCCTGAACATCAACAACACTATTATTAAAATGTCTGTCAAAACATTAGTATAATATGAAAACTTTAACGCTCATAAATAGCACTAGAGCCAAGGTTGGTTGCTTATAACTTGAAAATATATATTCAAAAGTAAGTAATAGCAATAAATTACATTTTTAGTAACCTTGAAATTTTTGTAACTTATCACATTAATATAAAATTCTATTCTAATCCCTTGACCTCTATATGGCCCTGTTTAAACATAACCGGTAAAGAAAAGTGTTGGCCTAGTGGCTTCAGCATGCGACTCCCATCCTTGAGGTAGAAGATTCGATACGTGGTTGTGCACTAATTGATTTTCTATGCGCGCATTTAACATTCGAACAGTGAAGTAAAACATCGAGAGGAAGCCGGCTTGCCTTAGATCCAGTCGACGGCGTGTGTCAGGCACAGGAGGCTGCTCCTACTTCCCTAGATTGACAAATGGTTATGAAAGAGATACAGAAATCTGAGGCCCAGACCTAAAAAGGTTGCACCACTGGTATTTCTTTTGTCAGACATTACAGACATTTTATTTACATTCGCTTATATTACAAATTTCCTTCATTAGCTAATACATAAGAATAATATCAATTTCCTAATTTGTGCATCAGAAAAGTACGCATGCACTGTTGTATATACTTTTCACGCTTAAACCGATACAAAAATTTTGATCTTCTCTATATGGGGTCAACACACCAACAGGACTCCACACATTTATAAATTCGCTATGAGTTAATATATCAAATAATTACTGTTACTGATCAAAGTTAAACCAGGAACCACTGATAAATAAAATTAATTGTTCTATCGTAACGCAGAATAGGTACTTTAACACGTTCGTTGCATTACGAGATCTATCAGATCTCTTGCAGGACTTTCGTATTGTGCGTTGAACATAATCGTGTTTTTTCACTCCTTGCGGAGGATGTAACTTGTAAAGTTCTTTAAGGATACACTTCATATTTACTTCCTACTTAAAGCTGAATTCAAGGAATTAAAAATAAATTAGAGATGGATTAGGTCCCTAACGCACAGTACTGTAATTGTTTTAATTCCTTGCGTTAGGAAGATATGTCGGTACTCTGAAATCGTACGCCTCTAGACAAGAGATGGAGGATGGGATTTTTAGTGTTGTCCTAATCGATATTCAGGAATCGCGGGCACTTTGGAAACAACACTCGCGTATATACCAGCGTATTGATTATTTTTGATAAACAATGAGTGATTATAAAAGAAAAAAGTGTAAAAAATCTATTTTATTGGTGAGGTTTCTAACAAAAAATCAAGCCGGATTATACTGCTCATCGTCAGTAAAATATTTGTTTTGGAAAATGTTCAAATCCATTGACTAATAATGACAGTGATTCTGATAATGAAATATTTAACGATAGACCTTTTTCGTTGGAGCACACGCAGTTAAACACACTGACGCTTCTAAAAAAATCTAAATAATTGTTACCATTTGCGCTAATTGCAAGCAATCAATGTGCTTACCACGTTTTAATGAAAAAAACTTGCATAATTAATAAAACTTTTAGAATCGATAACGAGATATTATTTTATTCCCATCACTACTTACTACAATATTGAACTATCTTCGGTTGCGGTACGAGATACATCGATTCTAAATTTTTTTTGGTATTTGTAGTTTATTCAAATGTCGTAACTGCGTGCGAACTAGCAAAATATAAAGCAATTAGCTATCTTTCACCCACAAAAACTTCAAAATATATGTCATTGTTTTTTTGGAAGATATAAATTATTTTCAAAAGTGTATTTTTAGGAGACTGATTAGGTCTCAAACCACCCAGGGATAGGCTTGTTACGAGATCTTTTAGGTCTCCATAGCACCAGCTGAAAGTTCTTTTAAAATGATGGCGCAGTGAACGTGTTAATTATAATGATACCTTTAGTAGAGATATTTTGTTTGTTGATTTGATTCAGACGGACCAATATTATATATTTATTCTTAAGCTATTAAATTTAGTTAATTAATCTGATATCAGTACTTACATGCGGAAAACAAATTTAGCATATTTTTTCCCCAATTTAATTCCATTAATTCGGTACCAACTATTTGATAAGAGATTCATGTTGTCAATTAACGTTAATTAGATTTATATTATTTCATATAAATTGAGGAAAACTGATAATGGAAAATAAAAAGAAACAAATGTCATAACTTTATTAACAATTAAAATTTAGTAAACCGTTGGCTTCGAATAGACTCCACTTAAAACAATTGTATCAATTTTTAATTTTGGATTTATGATAAAAAGTCAAATAGACATAATTGTAGGCACAGCGATTTGCTACAAAATGTGTCTTTTCAAATTTTATGTACGATGGATAATTTAGGAGATATAGCCAAAAACGTGTTTTCACCCCTTTTTACACGCTTTATATTAGCTTCACCTGTATGTATGTATGTATGTAACCGACTCCTTCGGACTCGATTTTGACCCACTTTAAACGGACAGATTTAATTCAAACTTTGTACACTTATAAAGAATCAGCGACAATATAATAATTTCATAGGTTTATCTCGAAAAAACAATGAAATTTTTTTTAAGTCCACAAAGCAATACGATTAAATTGAGACAACACGTATTGCTGCTAGGACTAAAAAGTGGAAAAAAAATATAGATTAAAAAAACTATAAAACACGCTTTTAAAGCACATGAAACTAAAAAGTGAAAAATAATTCCTAATTTTGGTTGCTCGATAGACGAAAAATATGGCACAGAGCGCCCTACGCTTTTTCACAATAATACCAGTATTTTTTGTTCATTACCATTTTCAGCCTAAATTAGGAATTATTCCAACATGGCGGCCGGGGGACAAAGGCGCCAACCCCACAAACTTGGGATTAAGCTTATATTGACCCCCCCTACATGTCCCATAAATAAAATTTCGTCCTCTATCAAATGTTCAGTTTGTCCCTTAAATTGTAACATTTTTCCATGGACTATTAATTCAGTGTCATATTATGTATGTAATGTTATAGAAAGTTTTCCATTATATGGTCGTTTCAAAGGGCGCTTATGTTATAAAATATTCTCGTATTTTCTAGCGTTTTAAAGTTATCGTTATTTGAAAAGAAACGCTATAATAAATTAAATAAGCTGCTTAATACCTGATCACCGTCCACAATCTAAAAAAACTGTTAAAGGACTGGTTTATGAACACATCTTGCGCAGAGTTGGAGATGCTCATCAGACCTAACATGTTACATGTAGTTACAGATTACACTCACTCATTCACTTACATGCACCCACACACTCAATTATGCACTCACGCGTGTTGTAAACTGTTAAAATAATTGTAATTGAAAAAACAAAACAAATAAGTTTGGAAGAGCTGGGAACCCTGACACAGGTATTTTAGTTAAAAGGGTTGCCATATCATGGATGATAATGCTTTGTTTATAATGAATAAAAACATTTTTTTTTAAATTTATTTCGATGTTTCAGGAAGTTTAAATCGAGTAACGTTTTACACTTAAAGTAATTAATGGCTTTAATATTATTTCAGATTTTAGAAGCAAATCCCATTCTTGAAGCATTTGGAAACGCAAAGACAGTTAGAAATGATAATTCATCTCGCTTCGGTAAATATATCGACATACATTTCAACAGCAATGGGGTTATTGAAGGTGCCAAGATAGAACAGTATTTATTAGAAAAATCAAGAATAGTGTTCCAAGGCCCCGAAGAGAGAAATTACCACGTTTTCTACTGTCTTCTAGCGGGGTTATCGAAAGAAGAGAAGAAGAAGTTGGAATTGGGTGACGCTTCGGAGTATAGATATCTGTCTGCTGTAAGTGCACGTTCATTCTGACTAGGTTTCTGTCATGGTTTCCAAAGTAATATCTAATATATAAAATTCTCGTGTTGTTTGTAGTTAAACTCCTCCGAAACGGCTTGACCGATTCTCATGAAATTTTGTTTGCATATTGGGTATGTCTGAGAATCGGACAACATCTACTTTTCTTCCCCCTAAATGCTAAGGGTAGGCCATCCCGAAATTATTATTTTATTTTTAGTTTTTAGATATTTTTTTTATGATACAAAAAAAAAAAATACAACCCCTAATTTTCACCCCTCTACGATCAACCCATATTTTTTATTAAAAATGATATACATGACAAAACGACGTTTGCCGGATCAGCTAGTGAAGTTTATATATTTTTTCCCCATACGAATCCCCCTACGAATGCTCTTCTACTATTCTACTCGTTAATGGAAGTTGAACTACATTTAATTACTGTTTTATTTTTCAGGGAGGAAATTTCAGTTGTGAGGGAAGGGATGATGCAGCTGAATTTGGAGATATTAGATCTGCTATGAAAGTATTACTGTTTACCGAATCAGAAATATGGGAAATATTAAAACTATTAGCTGCTGTTTTACATTGCGGTAATATTAAATATGAAGCCACTGTTGTAGACAACTTGGATGCGACGGAAATAATAGAACAATTAAATGTAAAACGCGTAGCAAACTTATTGGGTGTTCCAGTATCTTCCCTCATCAAAGCGTTAACAAGGAAAACTTTATTTGCTCACGGTGAAACTGTTGTATCAACTCTCAGCAGGGAACAGTCCGTAGATATAAGAGATGCATTCGTCAAAGGAATTTACGGTCGCTTATTTGTAACGATAGTAAAGAAAATCAACGCAGCTATATACAAACCCAAAGCAACAACGCGTACTGCAATAGGCGTACTTGACATATTTGGTTTTGAAAACTTCGACCATAACAGCTTCGAGCAGTTCTGTATAAACTTCGCGAATGAGAATCTTCAGCAGTTCTTCGTAAGGCATATCTTTAAATTGGAACAGGAAGAGTACAATCACGAAGGGATCAATTGGCATCACATAGAGTTCGTGGATAATCAGGATGCGTTGGACTTGATTGCTTTGAAGCAACTGAACATTATGGCTTTGATCGACGAGGAGTCCAAGTTTCCCAAAGGCACAGATCAAACGATGTTGGCGAAGTTGCACAAGACACACGGCCTTCACCGGAACTACCTTAAACCAAAATCTGACATTAACACTAGTTTTGGACTCAACCATTTCGCTGGTGTGGTCTTCTATGACACGCGAGGATTTCTAGAGAAAAACAGAGATACGTTTAGCGCAGACCTTCTACAACTAATCCATATTTCTACGAACAAATTTCTTCAACAAATTTTTGAGAACGATATCGTGATGGGTTCAGAAACGAGAAAACGCACACCGACTCTGTCCACCCAATTTAAGAAGTCACTAGATCTATTGATGAGAACTTTGGGGACGTGCCAGCCTTTTTTTATCCGATGTATAAAGCCAAATGAGTTCAAAAAACCCATGCTGTTTGACCGTGGCTTGTGTTGTCGGCAGCTACGTTATTCAGGCATGATGGAAACTATCAGGATCCGAAGAGCCGGCTACCCAATTCGGCACAGTTTCAAGGAGTTCGTGGAACGATACAGGTTCCTTATTTCAGGAGTACCACCGGCACATAAAACTGACTGCAGGGCTGCCACCTCCAAAATTTGTGCAACTGTTTTGGGAAAATCAGACTATCAGCTAGGTCATACCAAAGTTTTTCTGAAGGATGCTCACGATTTATTCCTTGAACAGGAGCGAGATAGAGTGCTCACAAGGAAGATACTAATATTGCAAAGGTCCATTCGTGGTTGGGTATATAGGAGGCGGTTCCTGAAGATGAGGGCAGCGGCCATTTTGATTCAGCGTCATTGGCGTGGCAAGTTACAGAGAATTCGGTATAATAAGATGAAAGTGGGGTACGCGAGGCTTCAGGCTTTGATTCGGGCAAGAGTATTGGCCCATCGATTCAGACACTTGCGAGGGCATATCGTATCATTACAGGTATTTTTTTTTCATTATATTATTAATATATTGAAGCACTCTTTATTAAAGTCAAAAACATATAAATATATTTTTTAATACAGTTGCTCAAAAAGTGGCGTATTGCAGGGACGTATATTGTTCGGGATGTGGGCTTATTACACACTCGTGCTTTTTTTTTACCTTTTCCGAACTAGTGCGTTTTCTTTCCCAACTGTCAAAATAATGTCTATTAAAAAGAAAAAACCAACCACGAAGTTTTTACTAAAAAAAAATCATAGAAATTTTTATGATTCATGCAAATATTTCTAAAAAGAAGCTACTGCTTTGTTTCAATATAAGATTTAATGATTTGATTCAATGAGTTAGGTTAGATTTCATTTCATCTCCTTAAATTTCATTTCATATCAATAAAAAATTGTACTGAAGACTTGGCTGTATGGGCATAGTTCCCTTTGCCTACCCAGAATGGGTGAAGAAAAAAAATCTGCTTATATTCTTTTACGGTTGGCGCCATTTTCCAAAAATGTTCTTTGCGCGTTTAGTTGTTTGTTATATTATATATTAAATATACATGAAAAATCATACGAAATAAATAATAGTTTGTCTCAAACAGTAAATAAATATGCAACCTAAAACTTCTCCAGTTAGTATAAAAAACTGTACCAATGTATATGTGAACAATAATTTGTATAAGAAATAAATGATTAGTGAGTTGAGTTTATTGTTTTTTTTATTATTTTATTAAATTGCATAATTTTTTCGCAACTGTATTAAAAATAGTTGTTCAGTACACGTGCGGAACCGTCATTGCAACTTGTTCCGACTGTCAACCCTCACCTTCGGCTGTGCCTTGGCTCGGGTAGACATTTGTCGAAACTCTTTGCAATGACAGGCTTTCCGCACTTGTAATGAAATATACTATATGAATGTTTTAGGCTGCGGCGCGCGGCTACCTAGTCCGTCGATCGTACGGACACAAAATGTGGGCCATAGTCAAAATACAAAGCCATGTCCGGCGTTTGATCGCTATGCGCCGTTTCCGGCGGTTGAAGCAAGAAACTATAGCTCATAATGAAGCCCTGCGCTTGCGCAGACAGGAAGAGCAAAGGCTTCAGCACCAGGGCAACACGCGGGCTAAGGAGATCGCCGAGCAGAACTATAGGGTAAGTAATAAGTATTAAAAATAGTAAAAACATGGAACTGTTTGAATTTCTTTACAAGTTTGTGACCTTCTTGGCAAGTACGTGATCAACCTTCTGAGCTACACAATACGTTCGCACAAAATTCGTACCAAATGTATTGCTTGGTTAACTAACGATATGGGTATTATTTTCTGAATAAAATTTGAATTCTTAGGAATACAATATTTACGTTTTGCGCTTATCTAAATCGTGACGGCTAGTAAGACTAATTTGGTTTGCTTTTCCAAAAGCTGAGACTTAATTATGAAGCCTCAAAACCACTCTAATCTGTCGTCAGAGAGTGTTTAGAAAGTCTTAATTGTCATGTAGCGCAACTTTAATCTTGCTAAAATAGCCGACAAAGTGCAGCCATGGATCCATAGTAATATTGAATGCTAATTAAAACTTTAATTAATAATTTTCTTTATAAGGGTTTATTTTTTTTCTAACAATAAAGTCCACAAAAGTATGACTTTACATAAATTACAATTTAGCCGATACAATAATTATGGCTAATAAGTAATATGTTGACTTAATTTTTATGATATATATCTATATATAGTTTTTTGTATTTTCTTTAGATTTTACTTTATTTTAGTTATAGGTAGTGTTATATGTTATTTTGATTTCTTTTTTGTTAATTATTTATGCACTTCTTGTACTTTACCCTCTGTAGGTGTGTCCTGATATATCTTGTCTTCATCCATTTTTTTTTTTATTATATAAATTTCCCAATATCCCCGACCCTTGTGGTGCAGGACCTTATTTTATACATATATTTCGTACATAGATTACTACATTTTTCTATTTTATATTCATGGGCTAGTGGGGGCCCGTCTCACCTCTGCTACGCTCTTGTTGCAGCGAGTGACACATCTCACCAACTTACTGCAGAAATCTTCCAGTTGCGATCTGAAGTTTCTTAATATATCTTCATCCATTACAAACAAAAAGTCTTTTGTCACTAAACCATAAATGTAGATTTGCGTATATATAAAAATATATCGATATATATATATATTTATATTTTATATATATATATATATATATATATATATATATTTATATATATATATTTTTTTATATTTGCCCAAAGATAAAAAAATTTAAATCATATTTTGATTTGAAATTTATCATCGTAATACTCTTGATTTTTAATTACCACTTAAAAATAAAGTATAGAATCGCAAAAATAAATCTCTATATATATAAAATTCTCGTGTCACAATTTTCGTTCCCATACTCCTCCGAAACGGCTCGACCGATTCTTATCAAAATTTTATGCATATTCAGGAAGTCTGAGAATCGGCTACTATCTATCTTTCAAACCCCTAAGTGATAAGGGGTGTCCACCACAATTTTTATTTTAAAAAAAACTTTGTTTCTATTTTTTATGATACAGCACACAAAAATACATATAACCCTCTAATTTTCATCACTCTACGATCAACCCCTATTTTTTATTATTGTAGATAGTTATTTTTATTGAACTAAAAAAAAATCCTAGAAATAATATACATGGCAAAACAAACGTTTGCCGGGTATTATTATAAAAATAAGTCCAACGAACGCTTTTTTTTTTTTTTTTAACTCTTTTTTTTTTTCCCTCCCTTTTTGGGGAGGATTTTTTGTGGTTTTTTTTAAAAATTTATATTTTAAAAAACTCCCTTTTTTTTGTTTTTTTAAAAAAAAATAAGAAACATAATTTATTTTCTCCCATAATAACATTTACTAACAAACAATAAGATAACAGTTGTTTAAAAGTGGGAGTTTTTTTTTTTTTTTTTTTTTTTTTTTTTTTTTTTTTTTTTTTTTTTTTTTTTTTTTTTTTTTTTTTTTTTTTTTTTTTTTTTTTTTTTTTGTTAGAAGGCATTGGGGAGACTGGTTTCCGAACTAGGCAAGAACCTGTGATATGGATAACCAGCCTTCCATTCACAGCAGCACTCCCCGGGTTGTTGTTTGGTCATATTGAGGTGTTTACAAAAAGTACATACATAAAAATAAGTCCAACGAACGCTTCTTGTTATCTTATTAATCAAAATCTGCTGATTCTAGATTATAATTATTTAATGCATTTATTGAATATAGCCTTAAGCGTCATTAACATACTCTTATCGAATATGAGAGGAAAAATATGTTTGATGTTATCTTTGTTAAATCCCTCAGATATCTTTTAATTTATTTCATAATTTTTGAAAGCAAGAAAGGTTTGCGCCTACATCATCCTAAATCAAGAACTAAGTGTTCAGTCATGCCCAATTGCCTGGTAGCTGGTAAAAGCTAGCATCATTTTGTGAATACATGTACAGTCATAACCGTTTACGACGACATCGTTTAGGTCTCGGCTGAAAAAAACAAAATTAAAGGTCTCGGCTGAATTCTATTGTATTAAGTTCTTAATGAAAACGTCATCGGCTGTTACGACTATCTGTTTTTACGACCAAATATGAGTAGTGCCTTCGATGTCGTTATAACAGATTTTGACTGTATTGTCTATATGTATTAATTCGACTCATTGGTCTAGTGGTTAGTACCCCTGACTGCGAGTCCATGGGTCCCGGGTTCGATCCCCGGCTGAGACGAACATCGATGTGATGAGCATTTGGTGTTGTGCTTAGGTCTTGGGTGTTTAAATATGTATTTATATGTCTATCCATCTATAATATGTATGTATATCCGTTGCCTAGTACCCATAACACAAACTTCACCAGCTTAGCATGGGACTAGGTCAATAGGTGTGAATTGTCTTTAAAAAAAAATAATAATAATGACTTGATTCATTTACCCCAAATATAATAAATAACTTAACCATAAAGGTGAGCAGAAGTATTTTGTTTGAAATAGTATTATTTTTACATTTCGTATGATTCGATTTTAATGAGTTTAAGTATAGACGAATATGTATATAGATAAAATAAACTATATATAAACGGTAGTTTTGATAACCCTAAATCAATATTTCATATAAAAACCAAACCTGAACACGCGTAATACAGTTGTGATATCAATATCTGATTAGTTAGATAATGCATTAATTAGTAATCATGCATGCGTTTCGCTATAGCTCTTTTCATTTTTACTTTGTCCTATTTAAAACGCCGATAGCAATACCTGCCACCTTCGAGTAGCTTCGAGCTTTAGCGAGCTTCAAATATTTAATACAATATACGGACGTATTTAATAGATAACTTGTTAAGTCCATATGTAACTAATATTCCTAAAATTGATCATGTCTCTATGTCAATTCTCAGTAAATGTATATAAAACTAAAAATGTTTGTACAGTTTTCAGAGGTTTTGCGTTTAGGTTTGATACATTAATGCGACATTACGATTACGATTAATCACAATTTCTGTATGTCCTAGGTGTAAATGCATTCACTCGAAAGTATAGGGTATATAATGCTTGCCTTACACCAAAATCACCAATTCAGACTATGGACTAAAGTTTTCAGTTTTCAGTTAATTATTTTTGTATAAATTTTCCATGCGCCAAATATTTATTTAATTATAGCGACAAATCAACTTCTAAACAGATCCGAAATTTTTACCTCAATGACGAAAATATTTAAATCTAATCTATATTAAATAAAAATGAATCGCAAAATATATTGCTACGCTCAAAACTCGAATACGGCTTGGTCGATCCGAATAATTTATTCTTGAAATTGATGAAAACCTAAAAATCATTTTTAATTCGGGAAAAGCGAACTCTATGGGATAGCAAAGAAAAATGTTCCATAATGTTGGTATGTCGCTACTAAAAAGGTAGGCCAAGTAAAAACATCAATTAAAGTGAACTTCTTTGAAAGGAATAAAATTGCTTGGAATCCCTCTGTTTTTTTCTGTCAATAAGAATATCAATATGGAAACAAAAATTCCAATTTCAGTTATAAAGCACTCGAAATCGAGATTATCTAGATTGTTCTGATAGATATTATCAACCAAATGAATAGTAGATAATGAAAAATTTGATTCTAATATTGTCAAGTCAGTAGAAATTATATTAAGTGGTAACATGTGTGTTGTTTCAATTACTTTAAAATTATATTACAATGATAGTGCGTTGCCTTTTAGATTTCTATACGGTATGCCTTTTTAATATTTTTAATGTAGACATTTTAATTAATTCATTAAATAATTATTATTAAACATTATTATGACGCGTTTCAATTAGTATAGTTATAAATTTATCATGACATTTATATAAATTTATATTTTATTAATAGTTTTGCTTTTATTTTGACGATAAAAACTAAATATCCAGGATTTAAGTATTTGCTATTTTTAAACCAAAGTACAACCAATAGATAGTTAAAGATATATATTGTCTTGCAATACGAGTAATTGTTAACTAGTTCAAGTTACGTATTAATTACTTAATTTCTACGTGTTGCGCATGCACATTGTTAAGTATTAAAATGATCTATATATGAGCGATACTTCATCACTTCATAAACCGATATTGATATATGTCTTTAATAAAGCAAATATTATCCTTGGTTCGAGTATTGGCATTCTCTGACCATAATAATTGAACATACTCGTAATAATGTATCGCATTTCAAAATAAAGTAAATACATCAGAGGCGCTACAACCTTTTTAGGTCTGGGCCTCAGGTTTTTGTATCTGTTTCATGATCATTTTTCAATCTAATAGGCATGTAGGTGATCAGCCTCCTGTGCCTGACACATGCCGTCGACTTTTTGGGTCTAAGACATGTCGGTTTCCTCACGATGTTTTCCTTCACCGTTCTAGCGAATGTTAAATGCGCACATAGAAAGAAAGTCCATTGGTGCACAGCCGGGGATCGAAGCTACGACCTCAGGATGAGAGTCGCACGCTGTAGCCACTAGGCCAACACTGCTCCATAAACAAATCTATTACTTTATATACTACGACTCCTTAAAAATAGTATCTCTATCAACTCTAACAGTCTTACTAATAAAGATTTATGCACTTGGTATAAACCTGTTATAAGAAAAATGTCACTAATAATTCCTGAATTCGCAAGTCTATAACAAGTGTTTTGTTTGTAGTAAATGTTTATGCCCTGTACAAGCTCTATTCACTGGATAACTATCACCTTATTATAACGCATGTATAGTGATTTTTTATTAGTAAGTACCTGTCTAAGGACAAGGGATCGACAGAATTTTTTAATAAAATGTCTAATAAAAAACGTAATGTAAAAGTAATCTCGACTTGTATCTCTAATTATACAATTACACCAGGTTTCGCTTGCATAACTAAACCTGTTGAAATGCAATGAAAACCCTCAATTAATATCAAGTTGGCAAGACGACCGATCGTCTATATAAAAATAATTAATAATTATAAATAATATTTTATAAAACCGGTTAAATGGGACTGCTTCGAGATTTTTGAAGTGGGTTAAAAATGTGGCGTATTCGGAATGGGAACAATTTTATTACAAATCGTCCAAGCCATTTATGGATAGCTGAGAAGTGGGCAAGTATGATGCTAACACTTTCACTGTACCTACATTAATTACTTATACCTAATGTAATAACATTCAATAATAGAGTACATATGTTTGGAACAAAAGCTATCTAATTATATTAAAATTTACAATGTACTATCATTATTAAAATAATTTTCCCTGGTTCTTTGATTATATAGAGTTTTCTAGGAACACAAGGTGTGTGGATAAATTCCCGAAATAGGCTGTATACATAAATTATAACTAATAAACCTATAAATTAATTTAAATAACGTTTTATTAAGAATATTTTTTTTTATGACTTCCACTCCGATGAACCGGTTTTATCCGCGCTAAATCCGTTTTAGCATAATGTTAATACTCCAATAGCTATACACACCGTCGTGCACTATTTTTCAATTCGAGCCGATAATTCTTAGAATAAGCGTGATCCAAATAAACCAGCATTTTATAAAAAACTAGTACCTGTAGATGAATATTCTTTATATCTAAAACCTTAATTTTAACTTTACTATTCTAGGAGCGTATGTATGAACTGGAACGGCGTGACGCGGAACTAGCACTTGAAGAAAAACGCCAATTAGAAGCCAAAAGGACGCTACTGCAAGAGGCAGCTCGTAAACAAGACGAGCCAGTCGATGACAGTAAACTGGTGGAAGCTATGTTTGACTTCCTTCCAGATTCTAGCAGTGAAGCACCGGCGCCCAAAGATACTTGTGCATTTAGCGATTTGCCCCAACAAAGGGCTGATCAACAAGAGGTAAGAACTACCCGAATGATCTTGTATTCTTCAGCTTTTGAATCTAAAGCCAAGAAAGAAAATTATAATAATAGTTTATCAAATCATCAAACAAATAAGATACATTAAAATGTATTTTTAGATGGTGACCCCAATGCAAACAACGTCAGAAGATGAGGAAGATTTATCCGAGTTCAAGTTCCAAAAGTTCGCAGCCACTTACTTCCAGGGCAACGTCACTCACCAGTACTCGCGAAAGCCATTAAAACATCCATTGTTACCACTACACACACAGGGCGATCAATTGGTAAGTACTGATAACGAAACATTCTTAATTGTTTTTTGATAGATGTTCACTGATACGATTTTAAAATCTGATTTTCCTAATGGTTTTTTTAAGTAGTCGCACGATAACGATCTGTGTTATTTTAGGCCGCTCAAGCGTTATGGATAACAATATTGCGATTTACTGGAGATCTACCGGAACCGAGATATCACACAATGGACAGAGACAACACTTCGGTAATGTCAAAGGTTACGGCGACTCTTGGAAGGAATTTCATTAGATCCAAGGAGTTTCAAGAGGCACAAATGATGGGCGTAGATCCCGATGCCTATTTGAACAAACAGAAGCCAAGGTCGATTAGACACAAACTTGTGTCGTTGACATTGAAAAGGAAGAACAAGCTTGGGGAGGATGTAAGAAGGAAACTACAGGTATGACTCCATCGAAATATCTTAAGATAAAATAGATTTTAATTGAAAATAATCTTTGGGATATAGATGTTAATAATATTGTTCTATTTTTTTCAGGATGAAGAATATACAGCGGATAGCTATCAATCGTGGTTGGAATCGCGTCCAACTTCAAATTTGGAAAAACTTCACTTCATTATTGGACATGGGATACTGCGTGCAGAACTTAGAGATGAGATTTACTGTCAGATTTGTAAACAGCTGACTAACAACCCGTCAAAGTCCTCACACGCACGTGGCTGGATTTTATTGTCGTTGTGTGTCGGTTGTTTCGCTCCGAGTGAGAGATTTGTTAATTATCTTAGAGCGTTTATTAGAGAGGGACCACCTGGCTATGCACCATATTGCGAGGACCGCTTGAAGAGAACCTTCAACAATGGAACCAGAAATCAACCACCTTCCTGGTTGGAGCTGCAGGCTACAAAGTCTAAAAAACCTATAATGTTGCCTATCACTTTCATGGACGGTAATACGAAAACACTATTAGCGGATTCAGCTACCACTGCAAGAGAATTATGCAACCAATTATCAGACAAGATTGGTTTGCGTGATCAGTTTGGTTTTTCCTTATACATTGCGTTGTTTGATAAAGTAAGTTCACTTGGCAGTGGTGGGGATCACGTAATGGATGCTATTTCGCAATGTGAACAATATGCAAAAGAACAAGGAGCGCAAGAAAGAAACGCTCCTTGGAGGCTGTTCTTTAGAAAAGAAATATTTGCACCTTGGCATGACCCTACCGAGGACCAAGTAGCGACCAACCTTATTTATCAGCAGGTTGTACGGGGTGTCAAATTCGGCGAGTATAGGTGTGATAAGGAGGAAGATTTAGCGATGATTGCCGCTCAGCAATATTACATTGAATACGCTCAAGACATGAACAATGAGCGTTTATATACTCTATTGCCAAATTATATACCAGATTATTGCTTGACAGGCGTTGAAAAAGCTGTCGATCGATGGGGCGCTCTCGTGGTGCAAGCGTACAAAAAGAGTTATTATGTTAAAGAAAAAGTTCCTGCATATAGAGTTAAAGAAGACGTTGTGAGTTATGCTAAGTTCAAATGGCCCCTATTGTTCTCCAGATTTTATGAGGCGTATAGAAATTCCGGTCCCAATTTACCCAAAAACGATGTCATTATCGCCGTGAACTGGACTGGGGTGTATGTCGTCGATGATCAAGAGCAAGTGCTACTCGAGTTGTCGTTCCCTGAAATTACAACAGTTTCCAGTCAAAAAACTAACAAAGTGTTCACGCAAACTTTCAGTTTAGCCACAGTGCGCGGCGAAGAGTTTACTTTCCAAAGCCCTAATGCCGAAGACATTAGAGATCTAGTCGTTTACTTCTTGGAAGGTTTAAAAAAGAGGTCGAAATTCGTCATCGCATTGCAGGACTACAAGGCACCGGGTGAAGGGTCTAGCTTCTTGACTTTCCAAAAAGGGGATCTTATTGTATTAGAAGAAGACAGTACAGGGGAATCTGTACTGAACAATGGCTGGTGTATCGGTCGTTGTGAAAGGTCTATGGAGAGAGGAGATTTTCCAGCCGAAACAGTTTATGTATTACCAGCGTTAACAAAGCCACCTGCTGATATTTTATCACTTTTTTGTCAAGAAGGTGCCCAGCACGGTCGAAAAGCCCCTACTAGTACGTTCAATGGCACAGACCCTAGAGACAAACCACACACACTTTTAGAGTACGCATTAGATCACTTCAGACTACCCCCTAAAAGAACAGCTTCCAAGACCTTGACACTTTCCTCGGCTAAAAGAGGTGGTGCTGAAGAATTGTGGCGCCATTTTAGAGAGCCTATAAAACAACCTTTGCTTAAGAAGTTGCAAGCCAAAGAAGAGTTAGCTGAGGAGGCGTGTTTCGCCTTCACTTCCATATTGAAATACATGGGAGATTTACCTTCAAAACGTCCTAGGATTGGCAATGAATACACAGACCATATCTTTGATGGGCCGCTGAAGCATGAAATTCTGCGAGATGAGATATACTGCCAAGTAATGAAGCAACTGACTGATAATAGAAATAGAATGTCGGAAGAGAGAGGATGGGAGTTAATGTGGCTTGCGACAGGCTTATTCGCATGCAGTCAAGGCCTTCTCAGAGAGTTAACATTATTCCTTAGGACTAGAAGATATCCAATTGCTCAAGATTCACTCCAAAGACTTCAAAAGACCTTGAGAAACGGCCAGAGAAAGTACCCGCCTCATCAAGTCGAAGTAGAAGCCATACAGCATAAGACCACTCAAATATTCCACAAAGTATACTTCCCCGACGACACAGATGAGGCATTCGAAGTAGATTCGTCTACGAGAGCGAAAGACTTCTGTCAAAATATAGCGCAAAGATTGAATCTCAGGTCTAGTGAAGGTTTTAGTTTATTCGTTAAGATAGCTGATAAGGTTATATCCGTTCCTGAAGGCGACTTTTTCTTCGATTTTGTAAGACATTTGACTGACTGGATCAAGAAGGCGAGACCGACGCGAGACGGCATCACACCTCAATTTACATATCAGGTAAGCTAAGTGACGATATTTTCAATTTGAGCACACCCCACACACACATCCACACGTACATATCATCACTCACACCATCACACAGCACAGCCGACTTATATTTTAGATTAAGCATTTATTATTTTATATTGGTTTTCCCTTTTCAAATATTTTCAACTTTTTGTATATAATATTATGTATTCCAACTTTGGCTATATCTATTGTATACTAGCGAACCCGACAGACGTTGTCCTGCACGATATTTCAATCGATTAGGATATTTAGTCTAGTCGACAAGTTGAAAATGGTACAAAATAGAGATACTGCTCTTAAAATAATGTGCGATAGCTCATTGGATCCGGAATGACGTCTAGAAAAATGTGCCAAAAGCGTGTATTAGCACATAAAAAATTGCAAAAGTTATAAACAATTAAAGATGAAAAAAAAATGGCATTTCGTTTTTTGCCAATATTTAATAAACTGCCAAACTATTAAAATTCCACGCTATTTATATGTAAATTTCCTCCTCTTAAAGAATTTTTGAAATTTCTTAAATATTAATATTTATTAATATTGGCAAAAACGAAAGCCAGTTTCATCTTTAATTGTTTATAACTGTTGCAATTTTTTATGTGCTAATACACTTTGGCAATTTTTCTAGACGTCATTCGGAATCCAATGAGCTATCGCACATAATTTTAAGAGCAGTATCTCTACTTTGTACCATTTTCAACTTGTCGACTAGACTAATTAATCAAAGTGTGAAAGTAACCACTGTAGCGCCATCTGCCGGGCTGATTTATGATTCTAAACCATCCAGGACTCCAAACGCCGAAAAAATCATTCAATTCGGTCCAGCTGTTTAAGAGGAGTTAAGTGACATGTACACGTACAGTAGAATTATAATCTACTCCTTATTTTAAGTTAGATCAAACTGTACACGGTGTGCAAATTTGATTAAAATCGGTTAAGTAGTTAAGGAGTCCATAGCGGACAAACAACGTGACGCGTAATTTATATTTATTAAGATTTGTGTTTTGTTTCATATAATTATGTTAGCTGTAGGAATACGAAATAAATAAATTTAATATCATTCTCACCCACATGACCTTATTTCCAGGTGTTCTTCATGAAGAAGCTATGGACAAACACGGTCCCGGGCAAGGACCGAGCCGCAGACGTGATCTTCCACTTCCACCAGGAGCTGCCGAAGCTGCTTCGCGGGTATCACCGTTGTGGGCGGGAGGAGGCTGCTCGCTTGGCTTCTTTGGCTTACCGAGCCCGATTCGGTGATAACAAGCAAGAGTTACAAGCGATACCGTAAGAAGACTATCACTCTATTTTGCTTAAGAAAATTTTTTTTAATTCTTTGAGAGAATTCTTTGTAGCAAATTTCGTGTATTGTTGAAAGTACTTTGTTAGATTTTATTTTGATCCCTTGAGTTCGGTGGCAGTTGTTATGGTAAATTGTTTAAATATATGTTAAATGAAACACTATGTTGAAGATGGGTGTCTAGCTTTAATTGTTTAAAACATGAGCATAATACAGTTAAAGTTAGCAGTGGAGTCAATTGCGACTGTAACAAAAAGGGTGCGTGTACTTATGTCAGCCGACTCATAAGAAGTTATACTTCTTTGGCATTATTAAAAATAGTTTGGCTTTGTTCCACCTCCAGTTTTTGATGTTTCACAGCGATAAGATGACAACTCTTTTTTTGTATTCAATTTAGTGCACTTACACTGATTCATCAATTGTTTTTTGTCTCTTGTCCTTATATTTGCTAGATTAAATCAGAAAAATTACATGTTTTGATTAAACAATGTGGTTAATTTTTTAATCAAAACATTACTCGATATTAATAATACATACGGATAGTTAACCTCAATTGTATTGAAGCACTTAGGAAGGTTGATGAGCACAGTTTTTTCACAAATATTAATTAGTATTGGTTTAAATATTCAATTTAAATCACTTCTGATTATAATTCAAAAAGCATTGCTAAATTTCTTTGGAAAAATAATTAAAACTCCTTTATTTGCTTAAAAGGTAAATGACAAATGTCATTATGTTCATTCAAAATTGTTGGCATACGAACTTCACGCATATTCTATTTCTTTTTACTTGTAGATTGTCTTATTCCTATCTCGCTCGCGCACGCTATAATCACACTCCTAATTTTGTGTCACAGGTGCGCGCCATTGTAAAATGTCACTCTCATAAATTTTTCATAACGCGCCTAAAGAAGTATAACTTCAAAAATAACTTGACTTATTGAAGAGTTCTTAAATCTTAGTGACATTTATGTTATTGGACATTATCGGAATTTAACATTCTCGTTGAATGTTAAATTACAATTTATGAGTGTGAGAAAACTAAAGGGCTCATTTTGGATTCAAGTGTGCGATATTGTTTACATTTTGTTTACGCATCTAATTATTAACTAAAATATATATGTAACTTAACTAATGTCAGTTTACATAACTCTTGCTGTTACTTTTTTTAGCATCTTTTCAATGCTGAAGTTAAGTTCCTTTTTAGTAACTTAAAGGTAAGTGTTGCCGTGAGGGAGTTTTACATTTGGTTTATATCATGCGTCTTGAACTTATTGGGCATAAAAACCCGGACTAAAGTTAGTACGTTACGACATCTTTTTCGTATAACCATGGGAACAAATGTGGTAATATTTGTGGTCCGTTATTTTTTTAAAAATGCCATTATTTTTTTAGTTACCTTTATCCACCAATTATGTAAAAGATTAATAACATTGAGTTTATTTTTATTTTTACAGTCAAATGCTCCGTGAACTAGTCCCAGCCGACCTCATAAAATTGCAAAGTTCCGCCGATTGGAAACGTGCTATTGTGGCGTCATACAATCAGGATGCTGGAATGACCCCTGAAGATGCGAAGATTACCTTCCTGAAGGTTAGGCGATACTTTTTTTTAAATATGTCTACCGCCAAATATTGCAAACTCTTTAACTGTATTTATTAGTTTTTTTTATCTATGTACACTACGTTGCAAGAAATACTTAAAATAATAAAATAAAATAATAATAACGGACAGCCTTATCGCTTTCGAGTGATATTTTCCAGGCCACGGCGAGATTTTTTGATGTAGCAAGAAGTGCAAAACTACATAAAATATACAATTACTTACACAAGGAATGGAGAAATCAAAGCATATTTATATTAATTTGCATTTTAATTACAACATATTTTTAAGTGTGTTTACTTGGTATTTAAATTGAACGGGTTTTTGCGAAAATATGTATTATTTTTAAAAGGAGGATAAAGTTTGATACCTTAATAATAATTTAAAATTAAAAAAAAATTGGACTAAACTTACTGACATAATATTGTTCTTTTGTCTGTCCCTTTCAGGTTATTTACCGGTGGCCAACATTTGGATCTGCATTTTTCGAAGTGAAGCAGACGACGGAGCCAAATTACCCTGAATTATTGCTGATCGCCATTAACAAACATGGCGTGAGTTTGATTCATCCACAGACCAAGGTAAAATAAAAGTATAAAAAAGGAATATTATACACAGTCATCAGTCAGTGTCAGTTCAAACTATATAAGCAAGGGGCTTAGTCAAGATGCCTTATCAATGTATGTAGAACGTCAAAAACTAAATTTGTATGAAAATGACGATAAATTTTATATAACCAAGGGTCATAAAAAGCTGATTTTTCAAGAGTCCCAAGGCGAGACCAGTTATGTAACATATTTATGTATAGCATTGTTGTAATTGGTTGACAGTTATTTTTCGGTACTCATGCCATTTGTATAGACATATGTCAGATATCAAGTCAGCTGTCAAATTCAAGGAACTTCAAAAATGTAAAGGTTTTAATAATTTTTCATGATATAATTTTGTATAGGATTTAAATTATATCTATAGGAACCTTGACACAGGTAGTTTTACTTAAAAGGGTTCCCAAATCTTACACATTGTAATGCATTTTATAATAAATCTACAGATTTTTTTTCTATACATTCAGTTCAATAGACATTTAATGTATGCATTATGCCTGCATATCAATTATTGTTATAAGTTAAATATTTTGTCACTTTAATACGACCACAATAAATTTATACATAAGGTCTGCCCTGGTCTGTTAAGCGATGAAAAATGTATCATTTACTTTTAAACGTAATAAAAGAAATTAATTTCACAGGAAATTCTAATCACACATCCATTCACAAGGATATCGAACTGGTCGTCCGGCAACACGTACTTCCACATGACGATTGGAAACCTCGTTCGAGGATCAAAACTCCTCTGCGAAACTTCATTGGGCTATAAAATGGACGATTTGCTCACGTCCTATATATCTTTAATGCTCACCAATATGAACAAGCAAAGATCGATGCGTGTTAAATAGATATTTGGAAATAAAAACATCGTAACCATGGTAACTAGGCAATTCATGTGTGGGTTAATGTGCGTGGATGTTTTGTTCATGGATTATCTCCTTCATATAGCTTCTGTTTGTAAAGCGTTAAAGAAAAATACTCCGTCAAAATTAGCTTTAATTCGAAAAATTGTATTTACGTTCGAAAAGTTTTGGAATTTTATTATTGGAAAAACTGTTTTTAGCGATTTGGGATTTCAAAACTCATCACTTTTAATACTATTGTTGGTATTATTTATTTCCGGTCAAAACTACTGAAATTAACGTTTGCTTACTAGTCGTGTAAGATCAAGCAATTGGTGCTCTATTTGATAAATATTTAGAGCTATTAAACAGAATTGCTTACAAACTCCGTCCTTTAAATGGGATCAATATTATAGAAGTGTTTAACAAAAGCCCCGAAATGTTTCATAATGATTAAAACTGGTCACGTCATTTGTCATCTGTCACATGTCATTTGTCATATCATATATACAATGTAAAAACAAAGAAAATGGCGGGAAGAATGGTGACGAAATCGTTTGTCTATCGTGTTATAATTTAGGTTTATACCACAAAATTCTGGAAACTAAACGATACCGAGTAAAAAGAGAGACAAGGAAATGGTCATAAAACGTAAGCCTGGTCGCAAGACGAACAATTATAATCAATTTTACTAGTAACACTTTCTATGATTAATGAAACAATGTTTTATAAGAATGGCTCTTTTTATTACACTCTACGATACTTCTTTATCTTGCTATTAACAAATTTTAAACTATCCTGACTGATACAACATAGACTCCATAGACACGTTATGGTTCCATCTTTTCATGAAAAGTTAAATAAAAACCTGGTAATTTTCAAATGTATTTGGTCACTTTTAAAAGCTAAGCAATAATTTCTCAGTCTAGTAGTCCCTTTGAGGACGAGCTTTTTCTTGACTTCATTTAAAACTTTTGGGGTTTTTGTTATAAAATATATATACGAATATTATACTTTAGAATTACGTAACCAGTAATTAAGTACAATTTAATCGTTGCTAATTAATATTTTAATATACATAGTTAATCACTAAAGGTAATATAGATTAAATAATCAGCAATTTATATTTTTATATAAGTTTATGAGATCTGTTAAATGTATTTATTCATAGATTATAGTGGGTAAGGTTGTATGTTATGTGCCTAATTCGACAATAGAGAAATATTGTAAGCTCTGTCTGTTTTCGCTTACGTAATCATTAAATTATATGGCAAGGAGCAAGTTTTTGAATTGCGCGCCAATATAACAGGAAGCTTGCTCGTTGTTTCAAAGCAAAAGATATTCCTATAATTAAAAGCTTACATCATATTGTACTGGGTAAACCTATGTTATGTATTATGTTATATAAGCTGTATGTAATGCCATGAGTTCGAACTATTGTACGTGTTTTCGCTTTAATAAAGTCGCCTTTGTGAATGGTTGTTATCGAGTCACAAATATATTGTTTTATTTATGCATCTAACATTAAAACACGTGACATATTATGTAATAGACCTATATACCTTTTTACAATAAAAAATACTATCAAACAGATTGGGTTAAACATATCTTAGACTCATTTCGGGTGACTTTCCTTTACATTTAACGTAAAGAAATATAATCTAAGCACAATTTATTAATTATAAAAAGGCACACTAATGTAACATAATATACAAACACTTACAGAGAACACACGAAATACAAAAACAATACATGCATGTGCATCAATGACAAGTGTGCACAACATTTAAAGGGAACATTACAATGATAAAAAAAGAAAATAAATAATATAAATTAATGGTATTTATTGTCTGAAGACATGGAGACTGGATCTGCCTCGCATGTCCTCAAAGCGTAGTTTACTGTAGATAGATATCTCTTTAGAGGAGCATTACCACCAACATTGGGCCTCCATCTTTAAGAGAAAATTCACTTGACTTAAAACAATTGGTAAATCTATCTATTAAAATTTTGTAAACAAAAGTAATGGCAATCAGGCAGCAAAAAATTTGCAATGACTCAGCGATTGTTTGCCATTTGTTTTTCGTGACCTATTTAATACTATATAGGTATATAATGAGTGTTAATGTCAAAGAGGCAAACGGCATCTTGTAATTTGACAATTTTTCTTACATAAGAGGAAACTTCTTACTTATATCTATACCTATGTAAGACCTCTATTATTTGTTACATAACGTAACGATCGCACTAGCAGAATCATCGGGCACATACAGTAGATAGATTTTACAGTGTTCTTAGTATGCATACAGTGTTGAACATGGTTCAACCCAAAACCTAGATTTTCTTCATAGCAAGAAATGTTCTTCAGGTATATTGACGGCGATCTATTGATACTGGTAGAAGACATTTTTATTAAAACTCTATCTGTCCCCGCAAACTTCGTTTCGCCTAAATATAATATATTTTATTTGGTCTACATTTTAGTACGTATCTACCAACATATGGATGATTTTGCTTTGATACCCCATAGAGAATGTTCGCTTTTCCGAAATAAAAACGTGGTTTCCGAGCAATTTTTCTCTATAAAAACCTCAGAAGTTCAAGGGATAACCATCTTCGAGTTTTTCGTTTAAATATTTTGCAATTTTTATTAAATAGACTCTTCATACAAAGCTTGGCTAAGATAAAATGAACCAACATTTGTTTTTGTGTCTTAAATAATGCCAGAGCTGATTAGTGAATAAATTATTATATTAACATCAAAATTTATATACTCAGTGGGTTTCATAGTATCCTGATTCTGATATTTAAAAGAACTATCGTTTCCCAGTTAGCTGATTAACCTCGTGTGTTATCCTTACCTAAAACTTACTTCTTGTTCAAACATTTGAATTTATATTTACCTGACTTGTAGAATAATTTGAAGCGCAATTAAAGTAAAAGCGGGCCAGTACAAAAACTGTTAATTAGAACATAGAAAAAATATATATCCGCAATAAAATCGTGAGAGTCTCCCACGGCGGGTCTATTCTCGGTCGAGAATGATGTTCCATTGTAGCAAGTAACAGGAAGTCATTTATCCGCCATCAAGAATATGACTGTTTAGAGCAATTTTGTGACCTAATCTGCGATTTCGGTTCACCGGTCGAGGTGTAAACTCTGGCAGATTAAAAAGATACACAAATTGCGCAGTTCTTGTTTTTCTTACGTAAGTTTGAAATAATAATGTTTATACACACGTGAAGTCGAACCCAGGATTGGGCTGCATAAACTACACAAACCAAATTATTTATTTTAATATGCAACTATTAATTAGAATTTTTATACCTGCATCGGTGAAACCTTTTTTTATGTTACAGGAGGTTTTTCCTTTGACCTAACCACTAAAGGCTCCACTGGATGTTACGGGCCACCCGTAATTGTAGGTGTTGCAATAACTAAGTCGTGGTTAGGGTTTATTTCTCAATTGCCCAGCTTTACCTGAAGTGATTTATGTCCTAATGTCTAAAAAATTATAGAGTTTCACACTCAGCTATAAATTTGCTGGCAGAGTAGACCTAGTCTAAAGAAAAGACCTAGTCTTCAAGCGGCAGGTTCGTTTTTTTTTGCCTTAAAAAAAGTTACATAAGTACATCATATTAGCTTTTCTTTGCCCAGAACTAAACCCAAAGACTACTAGCACTAAACTGGTGCCCAAAGTACGGCAAACGAAAAAGAGGGAGACAACTTAGACGGTGGATAGATCACATTAAAGAAATATCAGGTGGTACATGGCAGAGAGTATCACAGTGCAGAGAGGAATGGCGGGAGTTGGAGGAGGCCTTTGCCAAAAAAGGGCCCACAGATACACTAGAAGAGTATTGAAATGGAAATGTGTTTAAATGTAAATAAATGTATCTTAATTAAAGGCTGTTAATAATATTATAAACCCAAAAACTATTCCTTGAATTTCATTCAACCGTAACTTGAATAACTTAGGAACTGTCACAACTCACAACGATACAATGATAATCGTATAATTATGTATATCCCCACATAGGGTCCCCTACAGTAGACTTTAAAAGTAAAATAATGTATACTTGGTCTCACAACAAATTATTAATTGTAAAAATCTACTGAAAAAAATTGACCATTTTATTTGGAAAATAATTTCGATCCAGAGGACTCCACTCCTTTGTTGCTCCCAGGCTTCCAGAACTCTAAATCCAGGATAGAGCGGCAAAATAGCCTACTGGCGGGAAATGTATATTATATTAAATGTATAATATAAGCCATATATAGGGTTCCTTCTGGTGCCCGTAAATTTCAAGGAGATACAATAATTTCCTCTTTGATCAAAATGACTATAAAAAGAATTTAATGCCTTTAGTACTGAGAGGAGTATCTTCAGTGTTTTGAGGGATGACAATTCGATTCGACTCCTTCGATAGGCAGTAATCTTATATATCTGTAATACATAGTCTCTCCAAACCTTTATATTTAGAAGTAACATATGCCATTGGAACGTCTAGATATGATTATAATTTCTATTGTTATGACGTATTACAGAGATGTAATAATTAACGTATGAAGGAGACAAATTAATCATGGGCGAGTTAAACGTGACATAAAAATAACTTCCTTAAGCAGAATATAAATGACCAATTAGCCATCATTATTTCTATAAATACACGTTTGTAAAACACAGTTTTGTATCATTATATTTTGGACAATTGACTTTTAAGCGGAAACAAAAGTTGTTTCGCTGGGATTCGATTCTACGAGCTTTCGAAACGTATATTAACGAAATTAAGTTTGGTGGTGGTTTTTGTATGGATATTTATTTATTTGGGAAACAAAACAGATACATCTCTTTACAATAAAAAAAGTTATAAAATAAATGTATCCACAAAAATTTTCACTGCAGGTAAAAAATAAGATACAAAGCAAAGCAAAATAAAACATGACAGCACAAGATTTAAAAATCCGGAGAACGACAAACATACTAGTAGCTATAATAAAGAAGA